GCAAGAAAGAGGCCTAGGGCATGCTGGGTACTTGGAGGAAGCTGGCCCAGAGTGGAAAGTCAGTGGTAGATTGTGCACATGGAAGAAAAATTCAAATGTGGGTAATCAAGTTGATAGGCATGTACACTGCAAATACTTCTGGGAACCATCTTGACGAATTCTCAAGTTGCACTGATGCTTTTTTAAAATTCCCATTAATCATAAATTCAGAAAAATAAAGAAGATATTCCATAACAGGAATAATGTAGAAAAACCTGAAACTTCACACAGGAAAGTGGAGACACTGTAAGGTTAAGTGACCCCTCAGAGAGATTGATCTCTGAGTCAACAGTTCCTAAGAAACTGAAATTGATTAATGAGTGATAAGAAGACCCTCCCCATTTCCTTCTTATTGATGATTTGAATAATGAGGAAGCTAGAATTCTCATGGCCTAATTCACATTAAGAGAGCTAAGATAATGAAGCTGTGATTAAATGGCTATTAAACTATTTTTATCAAACAGAGATCAAGCGAGTGTGAGAATGTGAGGATGCAGAGTGTAATTGCAATTCTACAAGATGCAGAAAAAAATTACTATCATAAGCAGGGCACAGCCCTTCCATAATAGACTGCATTTAAAAAACTTTGGGATGCCACGTGTGGTTTCTCCCTTTAGGTGACCATTAGCAAACCAGTCCTTCATCTTCTCCTTGACTGGGTGGATTTATTTGCTGTGGAGGAAATGTGGCTGGATGAGCTAAATTCACTGTGGCCCCAACCACCATGTCTTCTCTATGAGACGGAAGGTCCTTTGGCTCCTGTGAGCAAAGCAGGACAGTCCAGTGCAGGCTTGGAGTCTGGGATTTTAATCTTCAGGTGACCTTGGGAACCCATCAGAACAATGTCTACCTTCGTTAGTTGTGCTGTTTGGATTATGTCACACCCAGTGCACAAGTCATTTTAGGACACTGAAGTCTCAAAGAGCAGCAATGAGCCTCCAGGTTCTGTTGACTGTTTTGGAAAAAAAAAACCCATTATTTATTAATGATGAGGCATGGCTTAGGGATTGCTGCACATTCCAGATTTGGGGTTGTCAGTATAAAAGCCAGTGTGTCATCTGTCACAGGAAATTTTTTACACCTGGGGTGAGGTTTTGTTGCCTGCTTTCCTCCTGGAGAGTCCTCAGAGTGGGTTTTACAGATGCACAGACCTTCATTTGGGTGAGAAGGGTATCAGGTAAGGAGAACCCAAGGTTGAAATTCCCCACAGGAAACACCCTGGATCGCTGCCGAGCAAGTCTGGAGGTGCCTACTGACCTAGGCTTTCCTGTCTCTTCTCCTGCAAGGCGTCCAGTGGAGCTGGTGATCTCCACACAGCTTGTGGTGATCCCCTCTTTCATTCCAGACTCTCTACTTTTCAATCTTTTAGAGCAGTGGTTCTCAGCCTTCCTAATGCTGTCACCTTTTATTACTGCTCCTCACGTTGTGGTGACCCTCAACTGTCAAACTATTTTGTTGCTGCTCGTAGCTAAATTTTTGCTGCTGTTACAAGTTGTTGTGGAGATATCTGCTATGCAGGATGTCTGATATGCAACCCCAAAGGGGTCCTGACCCCCTCCAGTTTGAGAACCACTGTTTTAGATGTTGCTGAGAAATGTTCTGTCTTATAATATTGCAATTTCAAGTGACTGGAGAGGAGCACAAGGGCCAAGGTGTCCCCTGCAATGTCATCTGGCTCACTCATGTCCTTCCATTCCCTGTCATGTGTGAACAGCTATGTGTTCATAGGCTTCCATGCTTCATCTGTGGCAACTCTGATTTATTTGCTCTGTAAATTGGGACCAGAGCAATAATGGAAAGTGGCATTAATTATTTGATGGAGTCCTCCTTGTCACGTCATTGCATTCTCTGGGAAGATGACTATTGAAAATCACACAAAACTAACTGAAATTGCCACAGTGAGGGACTGCATCCACTAGACTTTACATGTAGGAATATTTGTTGATTTTGACCATTAGACTCCCATAATTAGTGAAAAATCGGAATTTGAAATCATAGCAATCATTCATCTAAAATTGAGAACAAACATTACTAAATAAATGGTCTGGGAGCACCTGGGCATACAGAGATAGTAAATATACCCAACAGTCATCTTTAATTGACAGTATGAGAAGGCTGGCCTTATTGCTATGTACTGGTTGAATAGTAACCTTCCTCGCCCAAGCATCTCTGCCCCACACCCATTTACTGTTGCAATCTCCTATTCCACAAGCCCTCCCCTCCCATTGTGCTTTCAAGAGAGGGGAATTAAAATAGTTGGTGGCTTAATCAGATCTTGTAAATTAATTATGACATTATCAAGCTCCAATATTTCTGCCTTTGTGTGCGGTATACATTCACTCAGGCTTATTAAAGAAACCGGTGAAAACTAGTTAATTTAAGTGTTCTTTGTCATTTTGGCTTGATTGGAATTATCTGAGTTTGTTTACACAGGGGATAGAGCTGTGGTGCCATTGTATCCTGTGATTGAAAGCAAATAGCAGCTTGTAGTATCACTGGAAAGCCAAACACAAAATTTAAATCAGGGTAAACAAAATTACTCATTTATTAGTAAATACTCGTCACAATTTTTCTTGAGTTCTTTTTTTGACGTTAGAGAATTGAACCCTTTTGAAAATGGGATAGGTATTTATGAAAACTGTTCAATATATTGAACGTGTACTTATATGTACTTGGGTATGTGTATGTATTGGAGAGGGCTTCCAGATTACTTTATTAGAAAATACAGTCCGTTATAGTAATACAAACCTCATTTATTTTGGTAAGATTTCTAGTAGCATATTTCATTTAAATATACTTTTATTGAGAAAAGTTTTATGACTTGCATTTATTTATTTATTTATTTATTTTTGGCATGTGGTGGTAATTAGAATTTGGGGATACTAAAAATGGAATCATTGGACTTTCTGGATACTAGATTATATTATAAAGCAGAAAATAGAAAGCATTTCACTATTAGGAGTACATGGAAAGATGCATAACAGTTGGGGGAAGTAAGATTTTGTTTGTTTGTTATTGTGCAGTTTAGATTTTGAAGAATGTGTAGTTGATGGAAGTAATGTGCCTTCTGAAAAGGACTGTGAGCTTCTGGTTGAGTTTTTCTTCTTCATTAGAATTTAAGACTCAATGCATTTGTCACACTGTAATGTGCCCAAAATACATGGCTATACTCTGAAATCTGGAGGCAGTAGGAAAATGCCATATGCAGACACTAAAAAGGTCTATTAATGCCCACAGAGAATAAAATAGTTCTTCCTGTCCTCTTTAATCCAAAAGAAAGCAAAGTCTGTAATTTGACTCCTAGATAGAGAATGAGCAGTAACGAGGGAAAACATTTTACTTTCACGTGAAAATAGAATGTCTACGTGATAAGACCCTGCCTAATTTCTCTAGTAATACAATCTGATTTTCTGATTAGCTACCTTTTCCTGTGATTCTTGTGATTTTGTCAGGTCAATTAACCGAAGTTCAGTGCTAGTGAGAAAGGAAGCGTGGACATTGCCAGCTTCATTAGATGCCAGCAGCTTAGGTGCATTTTGTAATAGAATTGTGTGGGATAATTTAGCCATATTGTTAATGTCATAGCATACAGAACCTGACCAAAAAAAAAAAAAAAAAAAAAAAAAAAAAAGAAAAAAGAAAAAAGAAAAAGAAATTTGGAAACACTGGAAACAGGTCAAATTGGATAAACAATGTAGAATCCTAAAAGAAAGAATAGAAAATGATATGCACAGTCTCTGTGGATGACAATAAATGCTGTCAATGAATTATCAATGAATTATTCTGATTAGGCAATGACAATGTATTCCATGTGCCTGACACTGGGACTGATTGATTACAGGCATAGACAAGAACATATTGTCATAATAACAGATCCAGACATTCCAGTTTTTGTAAGAACCAAGACTAATATTATCCTTTATATAATTTGTTCGTATTACTCCTAGTCTGTTTTCTTTTCCACCCAAAGAAGAGTTCAGTCTATTTTTATTTCTATCTTCAGTCCTGGCCATAACATCGACAAAGACTAAAACATTCAATAATATCCATGAAAGGTGGAATACAGGTTTAGTTTTGTGTAATCATCAATGAAAATGAGTTTATCAAGTTAGAACACATCACCGAAGCAAAGCCCCTACTAGAAACTGTGACATGCTTAAGTTATACCCCTGGCGTAAGGAAGGACTTTGGCTAAGATACATTGCAAAGGAAGGTTTCCTCTTAGCAATGGACTTGCTAATGAGGAGGCCAGGCCTCCCAAAGCGTTAGTCTGAAGAACTGATAGTCAAGCTAAAGAAGTTGAGAAAAACAGTGGTTTTCCTATAAAAGATCCCAAGTTTGGGTTTGGGAGACAAGAGAGGCATTAGATGGTAGAAGTATCCAGTAGGCAGAGGTTTATGACATGAGTTAGGTGAGATGTCAGGAAGAGCAATAAATGATTTGGGAGTGAGCTGGGATGAGAGTATAATTGAAATCACCAAAGTGTGTAGCATCCCTTAGTATAGTTAAAGTTTCTGATGGTGTTCAAGTGGAAATTTGTCTCAATGTTTGGGGTGGCATACTGAGTGGGAGATCTAAGAACTGTTTATGAAGATTAGATGATGCTTAAAATTCTCTTAAGGCCCAAGATTTCCTAAGTTGGGGCCAGAAGACAGAAGGATGTGAAAAATAACTGTGAACACAGCAGAAATATATGCACCAGCATTAAGGATGGATCTAGCAGATTGGTAAACCAGGCAGCTCCAAGATCAGTAAACGTATTTGTTAATCACATGATTCAGACTAAAAGTGAGTTAGGAGTTTGAGGAAGACATCGTCTTTGTGCCTGGCATGGGCATTGAAGATTTCAAATGCAGTTTCCTCACCCACCTGGACATTTTCGGTCTACACTGATTAATCATGGTGCCTGCCTCCTCATGTCCACTCACTCATGTCTTCTGTGTTTTTCTCTGCTTCTGCAGAAGATAGATGAAGAGAATGAGGCCAACTTGCTAGCAGTCCTCACAGAGACCCTGGACAGCCTCCCTGTGGATGAAGACGGATTGCCCTCATTTGATGCCCTGACAGATGGAGACGTGACCACTGACAACGAGGCCAGTCCTTCCTCCATGCCTGACGGCACCCCTCCACCTCAGGAGGCAGAAGAGCCGTCTCTAGTAAGAACCCTTCCTACTGTCTGTCAGTGGCCAGAGTTGCCCCTGGCTGCCCAATGCATGGCTGCAGCATAGGAACAACTGGGTTTAGATTTTTAATTCAGACTAAAGTGAAAAGAAATCTATAAGCCAGTCTAGATTTTCCAATTCTGCAATGCACTATTAAAAGTGTTGATGAAGCATTTCTTACATGGTATAATGGAACTTGTGTATGGAAACAATCTTTTACTATTCTTGTGTGTGTGATTGTTTTTCTTAGAATTATTCAAGTTCATGGTTCAAGCCGAAGGAGTAGAGTGAGAACTAGAAAGAAATGACTAAACTTTACCTACACCTTTTAAAACATTATCATGTCAAAATGATCTAAATTACTTTGAATTTAAGATTAAGAAGGTTTGAATTTTTTATTTTTGAAAGTCTATTTCTATGCATTTTAAATTAGATTAAATTAATTTAAATTTCTATGAATTTCTACCATTCCTCCAGCCCCTTCTATTTACCTTCGTCTTAACCCTCCCATGCTCCCAACTCTCAAATTAATAGCCTTTTTTCTTTCTATTATTATTATTGCATACCTACATATGTATAAACATATATGTGCAAATATGTAAATACACTCTTCCAAGTCTGTTTTTGCTGTTTGTATATATGGTTTCATCATTTGCAGTACTTTTAGTGACTGCACAGTACATTTTTATGGAGATGCTATGAGTTATTAGTCAATCCAGTATGCTGAGATGTCTAGGTTTTTCTTTCCATGTTTTTGCTGTTACAGATTGTATAATAATGTTTACATTTCTTTGCATATGATTCCAAAAATAGAATTGCAAACCCAGGCAGTATGCTATAGCTTAAGACTTTATATCAGCATTTCTTATGAAGATAGAAAAATAATAGCTTATCTGCAGCCCAAGTTACTGAAATTTGTAGTAGGCAATGGAGAATAAATTTGCTGGCCATGAGGAGTGACTTCTTCTTTTTTTTCAACATAATGCTTGACCAGAATTTTATTAGTCCTGAGTGCCATTTGCCTCCTGGTCTATGATAGCCATTTGTCATTTGCCATAAATCTCATGGAAGAGCAATACTGTGTAATTACAGAATGCCATTGTTCTAACATTAGTAAAATAATCTGGCCTGCTATTTGGAGGTTGATTCTCTCAAATCTTTAAGTCCGAAGGAATTCAACATGGACATATGGGGAATCTGCCTTTTCCTCTTTGTATTCTAAGACTTCTGCTCTTGAGGAAAATAGTCTATGTGTAAGTTACTCCTCCCTCACCATGCCCCCCATATGCCTACCACCTTAATTCCTTCACAAGGATTTGCATCTGTACAGCTTGTTCAAATTGGAAGTTTTGTTGAGTTCAAGACATCCTGCACATCATGGCAGGGAAGCTTTTTGACAGCCAAATGAAGAAACTGGGTTCATGAAATTGTCAGTGCCAAACCCAGGCATTGTGGTGTACATCCATGATCCGGTGGCTTCGAGGCTGAGGGAAGAGCATGTCTGTGAATAAAGAGGCCCTGACTGAAAAGGCAAAGACACAAACAAACAAAAATGATAAGTCCCTGTCTTGTGCTATAGCCCCCATGTAGGCTATTGGGCAGCATTCTATCTACAAATCCTTGTCTCACACTAATCCACATATTTTTAGTCATTTGTTTATATATGCAGTTATGAAACATGGTTCAAAATGTTTTCATTGATTCTCATGTGAGTTTGATGGGCACGGAGAGGAAGAATTAGTTTCTGTTCTCTGCCCCCCAAAGTTTTAGTGGGCAAGGCAGGGGATTTGGCTTTGGGAACCTTTTAAGGGAAGATTGCATCATTATTCTTTGTAAAAAAAAATCATTTAAAAATTGAGGACAACAATGCCAAGCTTCAAATAACAAGGAAAGAAACATTTTCCTAGGTAGCTCTGTAATGCTAAAATCTTTTCTTACCTTTAATTAAACTTGTTTCCTTTGCCATTCTTGTGCTAAAGTATGGTGTGGTTAAAGAGAAATGTCTTTCTAATCAGCTTCTGCTTACCAACCTGAAGCTCAGGAGATGTGTAACTTTCCTTGTTTTCCGTTCCCTAGCTTAAGAAGCTCTTACTGGCACCAGCCAACACTCAGCTGAGCTACAATGAATGCAGCGGTCTTAGCACTCAGAATCATGCAAGCCACAACCACAGGATCAGAGCAAGCCCTGCTGTTGTTAAGGTGCGCGTGCAAACATTTTGATGCAGAGAAAAGGAGGGGGTAGGGCTTGCACAAATCCGCATAATGGGCATAACATTTGTATGTATTAATTTAGCCTGGGTTCAGTGGCTGCCTCTAAAATGGAAGCAGATACTAAGTGTGTCTCCAAACACTGCACAGGCACTTGGGGGCAAACTTGGAAGAGTTCTCCCTTATGCTTTGGTTTTCTGATGATCAGAATGTATAATTCCTTTCCCACTTGATTAATATATGCTGTGGTCCATACTACAACACAATTTGCTGGTAGGCTGGTAGCTGTGGTCCGTGGATGACTTTAAGATGCAGGATGACTGGTTTACCAGCTGCTTAACCTGAGATAGATTGTTTCAGATTCACTGCAAAAGATCGGTCCCTGCCATTAATTGGAGAAAATGCTGGCAATGACATAATTCAGTTAGCGGGCTGTATTAAACAATGTTTGTCTTGCCATTCGCTGTGAGCGAAAGCAGAGCGTTAAGGGGTACTTAAGAGAGTTGTGAATGCTGGGCCTCAGCAATCAGCGGTAAATTAAGGTTTAAAGCAGCTTCCTCCTCCCCCCCACTCACAGCAAAGGCACTGTAGGGTCTTGTTAGTTACATGTTGCTGAGTAGGAACATCGGGATGTAGGAGAAATGAAATAAAAAGCTGCATAAATGGCATTTAGGAATTTTAAATGTAATTTTCTTCCTTGTTCTGCAAACAATTATTCACAGCTCATAGATCCAGTACACTTAGACAGAGCACTTCACCGAAAATCTCATCTCTTCAGAAAACCTATATCCATTCTGATAAGGTTCACTTCACTAATTTTAGCTTTTTTTTTTTATGCCTTGTTTTTAAGACCGAGAATTCATGGGGCAATAAAGCAAAGAGCATTTGTCAACAGCAAAAGCCACAAAGACGTCCCTGCTCAGAGCTTCTCAAGTATCTGACCACAAGCGATGACCCTCCTCACACCAAACCCACAGAGAACAGGAACAGCAGCAGAGACAAATGCGCCTCCAGAAAGAAGTCCCATACACACCCACAGTCGCAACATGCTCAAGGTATGCCAGGACAGTGACAACCGCCCGCCCGCGCAGCTGGCAAGGGCGCGGACAGCACAGAAGTCTGAGCCTGTGGACCCCTGCTTCGTCCCATCTGTGTCTGTCTGGGGCAAATGGAGTAGGGGTGCGGGGTGGGGTCTTCCACGGGCACAGGTTGAACGTAACCTCTTCGGGAGATAAGCAGGCTGAGTAATAAATCCGAAAGACGCCTGCATTGTTCGCTGGGTGGAGTGGGGCCACAGGGATCACAACACCTTTGAGGTTTACACGCATCTGGATTACCGAGATCACTGACTGTTATGTTCTATCGCTTGCCAATTCTGTGCGGGGCTCTTTGATTTTTCCCTTTCCAGTCATGGAAAAAATGAGGCGCTGGAGATTTCCTCTACTACCCTGGGAAGCAGTAAATAGCATTCACGTAGTCTTTCTGATTAAGTACATTCCTGTCTTACTTTTAAGGCCACCTGCTTTGCTCACAGATTTTACTTCGCATGTAAGGACTTGGAAATTCCCGATTTCCTCTGCCCTTTATTTTTGAAATATACTACCTAGAGTAAACAAAAACATGTGGGTTGATCTTTATTAGTCCCATATGTAGTCAGGAGGCTGATGATGGAGAGGCACATTCCAGTGATTTGAGGAAAATCTCTCTTGGCCGAGATACAGTTTCCCTCTCTCAACGCTCCCCCTTCCAATTGTGGAAGTCCAGGACTCGGAAAGAGTTTGCTGAAAGTTAATTGTTGCTTTAAAAATGCCAGCGTCTGCTTCCTCCCTGGAATCCTGTCATAGACTCAGACATATTCTGTAGCAGGCAGAAACATTCCCATGGTGTGTTTCTGGCTCCCACGGAATGGTAGTCCCAGTGAGTTTGAGCTGTGTTCGTTTTGTACAGCAGGTAGGATGCTTCTGCTGCCGCCGCCGTTGATGATGATGATGATGACTTTAATAAACATTTTTCTTGGGGTTTGTAATCCCTCTGCCTTCCTACCTTGGAGGACTTTTAGGAATTTCCCTTTAATGTTTTAAGTTGCTCTCTCCATTAGGGTTTTAGTTGTTCTTTGTTTGTTTTGATTTTGTTTTTCCTTGCTGGGTTATCAAATTTATTATCAACTCTCTTCAGGAGGATAAATTTAACTACATGGGACAAATTCCCTTTCAGTTCCCTCTGCTAGTCTTGGCCCTTGTTCCCACAAGCTCTATCATTGTCGTGTGGGTTTTTTTTTTTTTTTTTTTTTTTTTTTTTTTTTTAGCAGAGGGGCTGGTAATGTTGAAGACCAAGAGAAAGGAGCCCACTGGGCTTGGTGTAGTGAATGAGTGAAGAATCCATTGGGTTTCTCCTGACCAGTTGCCAGTCATGCCTTCATCTGGAGCTGAACTGAGAGTCTCTGTCTCTCTGAAATCCTGTGTTCAGGCACCTGATTAGTTAGCACATGGCGTAAAGTTCTCTCTTCTGTCTCTTGTATCTCTCTCTTGTACTATCTTTCTTCCCTTTTACTTTCTATATTTTTATACCCTTATGGAGTTTGAGATTTTCTTAAAATTCAAAATTTATTAACCATTAAATATTACCATAAACTTTTACCAACCATAGCACTGAATAATTAAATACGTCCTTGGAAGACGGATTCTTGGAGAGGGAGCAGCTATATGAAGAGTTTTTAAAAGTACAGATCTGTGGTAAAGCCTAAAAGGTTCATCAAAGAACAAAGCCTGCTGTGTCGAAAGAAAAATAAATCCCATAATTATTGGAAGCAAAATGAGAAATGAGGCCTAGCTTTCAATTAATAACCCATAGGTGCTTACCACTCAAGATTATTTAAGTTATTCAAGTTAAAAGGTAGAAACCTCACAAACAGTCAGAGACGGTTTTGGAGAAGGACAGGTATGTTTGTGACTGGGCTTTTGGTCTGTTCCTCCTTACGTTGTGACATTATGCATTTGTTGGTTCCTTAGGATAATTGCGTAGTCTATGTGGTATGCTGGGGTCTCATCCATACACCCGCTCACATACATATTTATTCAAAAATAGCATCTACATGAAGGGTAACCATGAGGCTCCTAGTAGCTTGTGGTTGGTCAGCCCTTGAAACAGCTCCAGTGAAATTCTTTAAAAATGAAATCAATGGACCTTGTGAGACAGTGCCTGTGAACCAAAGTCCTGTCAGGGCTTCTAGTCTGAGGGCAGCTAGAGAACTGGACCCTGCTTAGGCCTCGAATTTCCTGCTTGCCTCTGCTGGGATTCAGCATGGCTCTGTTGCTCTTGGAATTTCCTGTACCTAGCTATCTGAATTTTGGAGACAATTGTATAAGCATTTAATACGGCCCATTGTACATCCACATTTCTGATTTTCAATGTACATTTATTGTATGAATTATCTTACTGTCCCTAATTGGATAGTATTGTCTATAGAACCTGTGTAAATTATTCTGGCTGTTAGCAAAATACCATAAAATGGAGTGAAATTTGTCCATAAATTTATTCTTTTTGAAAGGCTGATTAAATTAGGCATACTGAAAAATTAATGTACAATCAGCTCATCTATCTGTATATATGTAAAAGCCAATTAATCAATGTACCTAATTTGTAGAAGACAGCATGAGCTTCATATTTCTGGATGCACATTGGATAGTTGAAATACTTACTATTCAATTGTTTAAAAACTAAATCCTAATCTACAAATTAAATATGTAAATACCATTTTTCATATGAAGTACCTTATTCCAGACTAATTTAGACATAAATAATATGTTTACATTTGTAAGGACCTTAGTTACTGGGGTTGATTAACTTACTTTAAAGTGTTTTAAATTCAATTCCTTTTGGTAACAGGAGGAAGGAAGCATCTTAGTGTCCAATTCTTACAAGAATCAGCTTTATGGCACTGTAGGCATCATTTAGTATCTTTGTGTTACAGAGTATTCAACCATAAACTAAGAAACTATTCCAGAGACCATTTTTGTTACAACTTTATGATCTTCGTTATACACGTATCAAACTCTTGGCCTTCTGAAAGTAATTAACAAGAAAAGAACTGACAAAAGCTTACATACATGCATTCTCATAGATCTGCATATATAAATAATATATTTTTCATCATTTATTCTCTTCTTCCTGCTTAAAGCACAAGATTGGCGTAGAGAAGCAGTTAACACATTAGAGCAAGAAGATCCCTACTCTTGGCATCTTGTTGAGAAAAGATACCAAAGGAAGTAAGATTCTGTGATACTCAAAGATGGAAAGGAATACTGAACTTTAGAAAAATGTTTATTGGTCCTTTAACTGATAAATATGACACCTTCATGTGTTTATCAGATTTGGGATGCGAACTCCATGTAAACCATCTAGGTCAATGTCCAAATTTGTCATCATCTCTCGATGATGGTTATTGCTTGAGTCTTAGTCTCATAGAAATTTTCTATTCTCAGGGCTAGATATAAAACTATGCATTTTAGGAGTAAAAATCAACTGAATATTCATAACGATCTGTCACCTTATAGTTACTCTGCTATTGCCTAGTGTAAACAAACCGTGTACTGATTTCAAATTAAAAACAGAAAACAATATTTCTCTTTGATGGCATGGTGCAAGTTTTGTGTCCTTAATGAGATGGTGCATTTGTGGGAAAATTCTTTGTTTGTTTGTGTTTCCTAATGGTATTGTACTGATTCACATGTTTGGAATTTGCTTTAGCATAATGGTCTGAAGTCTGTCTTTTAGCCAACATTCAGGGATTCCTTTAGCTGCTTGGCTGTTTCTTACCTTAGTGTAGCAGAAAGTTGATCTGAAAAAGACTCGATACTTTATAATTAGTTTCTTCTTCTTTCCTGTAGCCAAACCAACAACTTTATCTCTTCCTCTGACCCCAGAGTCACCAAAGTAAGTATTAAAAAATGCAAACATTTTCAGAAAGGGAAGGGGGTTCTAATACATTTGGCTACAGCAACTCCATTTCAGTTTGTTTTTATAAATGTGCCATATCTTCCAGTGACCCCAAGGGTTCCCCATTTGAGAACAAGACTATTGAACGAACCTTAAGTGTGGAACTCTCTGGAACTGCAGGTAAGCTTTTATTTCAGTTGGAACTAGTCTCTGTGAAATACATATTCCATGACAAGCTAAGTTTTCACTGAAATTGAGTACAAGTAGAATTAGATAAGAAGTCATCTGCAAAACATCTTCAGTTGCTTACTTAAAAAACAAAACACCCCCCCCAAAGGAAAGAACCCCAAAACCTTGGACTGAAAAATGTTTCAGAGAGACAACTTCACTAATCTTGGAGAACTAGCCCAGCCCTTCTGATACTTGGCTTTGTCATGGATTCTCAAACAATACCACTTCAGTTTAAGACACAGAGGAGAACTGAATATTTTTTCCAGTTTCTTTTTAGTAACAACATTTTTATTAAGTTTTTGAGAATTTTGTACAGTATATTTTGATCTCAACATGTTTCATCTCCCACTCAATAAGTATGATGGACATCTAAGTGGTTGCACTCAAGTCCACAGTGACCTAATAAGGATAATGGCATATTTTTTTTTAAATTTTGAGATGAAAAAATAAGTTAGTGATATTAAATAAGGCATGAAATGTCATCAAAATGGAAAACAGAGCTAACCCTTCAGGTCAAACTTAATTATCAGTACTTCGTGTATAATACTTTCTCACTGTTTGACAATTTAGCAGCACAATGCTGTCATGTATGTATCTATCATCTACCTGTTATTCACATGTATGTATGTATACTACTTTTATCTTTCAACAAAGGAGAAAAATGAAAATATGCCCTTTTAGCATGTATATACATACATACATAGTTCCTTGTCTTCATCATTCGGGATGTTTGAACTGCTCTAGTAGGTCCATTTTCCACATGGAGACAAAGGAGCTTGAACACTTGGACTAACTGAAGAGTTTCTAGACAAACTTCTGCATTGGTTGTAAGTGGTAGGTACTTTAGGTTGTAAATGGAAGCTCTTGACATCCACCGGAGAGTAAGTCTTAGGATGTCTAAACCAAAAAGTCCTTGGCTCTGGCCATTGCTGACAAGGATAAAGGAACGCTAAGTTAGACAAGATGCTTTCATCCAGAACTGCGGTGCCTACACGCACCATGGTCATTGCCACTAAGTTTAATTTCACACTTTGAGTCTGCTAAATTACCTTCCTATCAAAGGTCTACTGCATGATTGCATGGTTTGTTCAAGCAGCAGAGTAGTTAATTTCATGGCATACAGTGTGTGTATGCAGATGACACATATACACACATATAAAAACAGGTTTATAGAAACACGCACATATGCATATATTCACTTGTAAGCATAGGCACAACTTTATTTTTTTATACTATTAATTTTTGTTTTCAAAATTATGTTTATATGTGTGTAAGTGTGAACATGAGTACAGATGCTGAGGAATACAGGACAGGACATTGCCTGCCAGACTTGGGTGCTGGGGATGAAACTCAAGTCTTCTGGAAGAGCTGTACCTGCTCTTAAGTGCTGAACCATCTTTCTAAGCTTCATCTCAATTTCTTAAACAAATTATAACTTACATACATTAATAGAAAGAACTTTTTGTGCACATATTATCTGTCTGAGAAGCCTCTTATTTGACCAGCAAAGACAAATATTGGTGAGTTTCCTTGAAAAGGTGATAAAGAATTCTTCATTTAACTTTTGTTTGGAACATATAAATATCCATTCAAATATCTCACTTTCGTTAGGAGACAGTAGGCATAGCATTGAGCTTCAGTGTGCTAAACAGGAATCCATTCATCTTTTCTTGCATAAATCACACTAGTGAAATGTCATGGGGCTCTCCAATTTTTATCTCATGATTTTTTAAGGTATGATATTCTGGGTACATTTTTTTTTCTGTATATTTATGATATTCTTAGTACTTTGCAATAACACACACACACACACACACACACACACACACACACACGAGAATATCTATTCTAGAAATTTACATTGTGTCTTTTAATTGAAATAATTTTTTTCATTCATTTATATAAAACTTTATCATCTTACCTAGTACCAGTCCCTGGGCCAATGGACATTAGCGGGTTTGAGAAGATGACACCGCTCTGCACCTCAGTAAATATCCAGCTGAAAGGGATCTATTGATTGAGAGTGTCAAGAACTTGTGGTGTTAGTCTGTTTCTGAAAGGAGCAAGAAAGCCTCCCTAGTTATGTACCAGTGCTTTACTTTCAATTAAAGAAATACTTGTTATGATTATAAAAATGTCAGCTCAATAGAATTGTCACAAATATAATCTAGTTCAAATATTCTTCATAGTTCTAAAATGAAAACATTCATGGCATCGTTTCCTATGCAACTGTTATCATTAGGTATGCCAGTGAATGCTTGTGAACTTTTACAGCCCAAGTTCTCATTTAATTTAAGCTGCCTTTTGTATCATCTCAAATTCTATTATCAGGATATAGCAGTATAAGTAGGAAAACAGATTTTTATTTTGCTAAATGCTTAATTTTACATGTTTAGGTTGCTTTTTTATAATGTTACCATTTTGAAATAGCACTCTGGGAGAAATCTTTGTACATACATGTTAAAATTTTATTTTCTAATGAGTTCTAATAGTTGCTATTGCCAAAAATAAGCATTTAAATATCTTAGGGCATTCTGATACATACATTGCTACATTGATTTGCCAAATTGTATTTCTATTTATAGCTCCACTAGTGCTAAGGGGACACCCATGCTTCATTATGTTTGTGTCGATACTGGATGTCTTCATAACAAGGTGTCTTTCTAGTTTATAAAATGAACACATCATATAATTTCTACTTATTTCATTAAAGATATTGATATTGTGAAACACTTATTTTTATTTTCTTCTATTTATATTTTGTGGTTTTTAGGTTTTGTTTAGATTTATATTTCTATCTGATGTTTTGCTATCCTGCATGTCTGTTTACTACATACATGCGATGTGGGTAGAGGCCAGAAGAGAAACACTGGAACCCTGGGACTTGAGTGACAAGCAATTGTGAGCCACCATGAAGGGTGCTAGGAATAGAGCCTGGGAGTCTGGAAGGTCAGCCAGTGTCTTAACCTCTTAGTCATCTCTCCAAAACTTATTTATTTTTGTACTATTTGGGAGGAAAGAAAGTCCTTGTACTTACTAGATAAACACTGTACCACCAGGTTGTGTACCACCCAGCCAAACACTTAGTTTTAAATGATTTCCTTACAAATTTGAATTTTTAGAGGCCTACTCTATGGGAAGGTAGGCAGAGATTATTTTGTAGATGCTAGACATCCTTAACATTTTATATAGTAATATATTCCTGGCATGGGGTTTTATATTCATATTATTAATTAAAATCTTTCATTCTTTGTATCATTGAAAGATTACTTGGTACAATGGAAACCAGTTTACCAGGGTCAGTTTTCCTCTCTGCTCATTGTTGGTAATATGTCAGGCTTTGGTGAGAACACAGTCAGTAAGGGGCATAGAGACAATCCCATGTTTAATACCGAGAGCAAGGTCAAGCCACAGGAGGTACAAATGAACTGTTCTGAAGTTTGAGATATGGTGTTATAACTTGTTGAGAAATAATGTTCATTGATAAGTGGCACAAAATAAAAACAGCATTATATATACCATGCTTTGGCACCTTTAAGAAAGATAAGCCTAAATAATGTTTTCTTTTTTAGTTTGCTAAGCATGATATCCGTAACTCCACAGGAAAGGTGAGCTGGAGCCAAATTGCATTATATAACAGAGAGAATTGGGATGAAGGGATGAGGAGTCATGTGGAGGAGTTGAATGGTGTGGAGGGTGAAGTCTTGTAGTTAGTACAAAGGAGGAGACTGGGTAGAAGGGAGGATTTTATAGCGACATCCACTATTGTGGCTATAGAAGGAATTTTATGTAGTGAGTGATATGCCCATCATCTCCCCTCAGTAATCTTCTCAGGGGGCCAACGTTGAGCATCAGGAACCTCAAAGGAAAAAGAGAGTCATCAAAGACCTCTGGGACACCACATCCCTGTTCAGAACTTTGAAAATTTTTTATACTTTTTTATATAATCTTTTATTTAAATTTGAAACAAGCTTGTTTTTACCTATCAGTCCCAGTTCCTGAACCCTCCTGTCCCTTCCCTGTTCCCCCCACCAACCCTCATCCCATCCCTGTTCTACTCCATAGGGAGGGTGGGACCTTCCATGGGGAACTTCAAAGTCTGTCATATCATTTGGAGCAGGGCCTAGGCCCTCCCCCATGTGTCTAGGCTGAGGGAGTATCCCTCTATGTGGAATAGGCTCCCAAAGTCCATTCTTATACTAGGGATAAATACTGATCCACTACCAGAGGCCTCATAGACTGCCCAATCCTCGTAACTAACTCCCACATTCAGGAATCTGAGTCTGTCCTATGAGGGTTTCCCAGCCATCAGACTGGAGTCCTTGTTCAGGTCAGCTGTCTCTGTGGGTTTCTCCAGCCTGGTCTTGACCCCTTTGTTCATCACTCTTCCCTGTCTGCAACTGGATTCCAGGAATACAGCTCAGTGTTCAGCTGTGAGTGTCTGCTTCTGCTTCCATCAGCTACTAGATGAAGGCTCTCGGGTGGCATATAAGCTAGTTATTAATCTCATTATCGGGGAAGGGCATTTAAGGTAGCCTCTCCACTATTGCTCAGATTGTTAGCTGGGGTCATCCTTGTATGTCTCTGGAAATGGGTTGGAAGGAGTATCAAAGCTGTGTCATTACTGCATTGAATAGCCTAGGTGATCCATGGAAGGAGCCTGAAGGTAATTAGGCTTTCAGTAGGCTCAGCTGACTTGGCAATGTTTCCGGAAGGAAAATATTTGCATTGGAGTTTGAAACGGGGTGGAAGGAGAGAAGGAAGAAGCCAAAGACTCAAAGAGAGGTCAGATGGCAGTGTGTTTGGCATTGACATGACTTCAGCAGGTGACTACAGGAAGGGACCCACACTTCTTACTCTTTATTTTTGGTAGACTGTTCTGTGTCCCTGGTCCTTCTTCAATTTTTAGGTTATATTCATCACTACTAAATGAGAATACTGTTGTACTC